GAAGTTAATTGGTGGTAAGGACAGATAATAACAAGCGAGCAAGCGTTGCAATTCCTTTCGTGTCAACAATGGAACCTTTCCAAAGACGGCAATGTAGGATGTGACGTCGTCGTAGATACTCTGTGACAGGAACTGATAACAACTGATAAGGACTGATAAGAGGCCTTAGAGAGCAAAAGGGTATTCATGATCAAACAGTGACTCTTTAATGCTATAAATGCTGTAATAATGACCGATCAAAGACATTTCTCCATAACGAAATGATAATTTTGTTCATTTCTTGCTATTAAACTACGACCGTTACGCAGTAAGCTTTGTGACACAATGAAGTACCACGATTCCTTTTTGTTTTGTGGCATATCATTTGTGACTTAACTCATCTGACCGCTAATGTTTGGGATTTCCAACTAATGGGAAATCCGTGGAGAAAATGTTCCCTCGATAACGGATAACGACATCTGTGATAGGCATTATTATCCATTTCTGGATACCATTCAAGACATTGGTTGTCAAACAGTAAACCAATAATGTGACACAATTTCGAAATGAAGAGCAATGAGTCGAGACTTCTAGTTAATATATGTATAATTAATTATATTACAGAAAAAATCGCTCCCAATTTGGAGCTAATACTGAGGGTGTAGAGCTTTCAAAGAAAAAGGAGGATCCGAAGTGTTATTCACGCATAGCAAATTTCTTACAGGAAGGAAAAGCGTCCGGCGAAGCCGGGCGACACATTAGAAGGAGGGAAGCCTGGCGTTAGCCAGGCGGCCCGATGGGTGGAATAGATCACATCATATTCATTCGTTTCGAAACTACACAATATCAGAAGATCGTCTCCTCCGCATAAGATTTTGTTTTCCAGTGCTCGAAGAAAGCGCGGTTAACTCAGGAAACGAATTGCCAATACCGTTATTGACTTGGATCGCTCCCTTGAGAGTTTGTCGATCCCCCATTAAACAACCTCATGATGGGGCTAGAAAAGCAGAGAATCTACAGGTTGCTCAGAGAAGTCTCTCTTCTGAAAGCATAGGTCAGCGTGGAATTGTACGAGTAACAGGCAATCATCAACAAACGTCAACAAGCAATGTAAACGTTGTTGGACATTCAAATGTCTTCCAAAACGTGAAAATTTGTGTCATGAACAATGTTTATGCAACAAAGCCCCCAGTCACCAAAAGCCGAGGCCACTGATGTCAGTGTTCTTCATTATTTACTTTATTCAATCCACAAATCAGACACATATTTCTATAATATAATAGCTACCAAGAGATGCCGTTCTCCCGGTCTCGGTCAATACTGAGCAGCAGTAACACTATCTACTATCGTTAGAGTGGGTGAGTAAAAATCAGTAATCCTTTTCTGTGACAAGATCTCCTCAATGGTAACTCATATTATCTTGGAAAGTTTCCAAATGCATTTCTTTCGCATAGGTTTGCAGCTCGATGAAATTCATTTGTTCATGCTATTGATTCACGAATCTTTTCGGCTGTTACAAAAGCAATATCTTTTTCATTTTAAATGCTTTATTTGTAGAAAATTAAGAGAATGTTATCATTTCTTACACCACAAATAATGTTACAGTGGTGAAAATCAACAAAATAAATTAGTCGATGTAAAATTAAGTAACAGAGGTGTCTGTAAGCGAAATAAATTAGTCGATGTAAAATTAAGTAACAGAGGTGTCTGTAAGCGAAATAAATTAGTCGA